AGGAGAGGAGAGGAGAGGAGAGGAGAGGAGAGGAGAGGAGAGGAGAGGAGAGGAGAGGAGAGGAGAGAAGAGAGGAGAGAGGGAGGAGAGAGGAGAGAGGGAGGAGACGAGGGGGAGGAGAGGAGATGGTTAGAAGACACGAAACAATATCTTACAGTGTCAAACATCACATCACTCATTCTAGGACATTAAACAACATTTATGATTTTAACATGTTCCACATCAAAGTGCAAAACATGTCAAAGTAAAGGCTACCTTGGGATACTCAAATCGCAGGTTTGATTTTCGCTCTCCTTGCAAATTTCCCCTGAAAATTTGAATCTCAGAGAACAGAAATGATCTTCAGTCGCTGACCCGGTAGCGAACGGAAGTCCTAGGGGCGAGAGATACTGACTTTCACCTGATGTAAAACTCAAGTCACGTTCACTTGTTGCCTGTTTGAGTGTTTGAACATGTCATGTACGTCTGCCCTCTTTCCTGCTTGTTTTTCTTCGTGTCTTTGTCTGTCGGCCTGCCTGACTTTGTGTGTGTGGTTTATGTTGTTTTCTTGTCCGGTTGTCATGAGTGATAGTATCTTTGAAATGCAGTTTTCTGACTATGACATGCATTTTCTTGACATGATGAGGTTGGTCTACATGTCATTTCATACTCACGTCTGGGGATGGTGAAGCTGTTTTGTGCTCTGAACTGCTTGATGCCATAATCCCTTCCGTTCAGTTTGAACCTTTCGGATAGTCAACGGCACCTGCAAAATATCCCTCCCTCTCCCTCTCACCCCTCTCCCTCCATCATCCCCCCCCCCCCTTCACTCGCTTCCTTACTCTCCGCCGCCTCCCTCTTCTTCATCATCACCTTTCTGTCGCAGTGAAGGGATAGAAGTGAACAACTCCCTGAGACAAGTCAAACACGGCAAGACACCAAGACTCTCAGCGTGTAATCATCAAAATCTCGAATGAGTTCTCTGGTTCTTGTATTCAAACTGTTATCTTTCACCTTGTGGCTTTCTTTAGTTTGCGAGTTTTGCCTTTGCTTGATAAGTTCCAGAAGAGTATGAGCCTGACGATGGGATTATTTCACAATTGCTCTGCATCTTGATCAGTTTGCGACCTTTTGCAACGGTGACATCTCTTCTTCACACAGAGATTGTGAAAGGTCAACAGCTGACATGACGATTAAAAAGAAATGAGGGCGAACAAGAGTTGTTTCCTCACAAGATGCATCGGACGTGATGGTAGTGGAATCATAAAAATTTCTTGAGCTCTGTTTCACATAATGATTGGAGCACATGCCAGACCAATCCAAGGTCTTACACGTGGGCTGAGAGAAATGATTTCTTTTTCAATCTGATCGTTGAGCCTTTCTGCAATGCGAGAGAAAGAAAAGCAGAGTTCAACAACACGCAAACTCAAAATTTGATTCATCGTCATCATCCACCTTCCATCTCAGACAACGAGTACTCCCTTCTATGCTTTGCCTGAGTTGACCAACAACTGTCGATCAGGTTACATCTCAACTCAAAACAACTTACTTCAGTCTTGTAGCTCATCTTCTTCTGGAAACGGTCTGAATCTTCCTCTGTCAATCCTGTAAGCTCCCTCTGAAATCATGGCCCCTTACGAATCTCCCACCTGCTCTCCTCAACCAGTACGACGATCCGTTGAGCGGAGAGGGAGAGGAAAGCGTGTCCTTGAGTACCTGATGTTGTTCAAACATCCTTTCTTCCTTCCTCTTCCTGTCCTACCTCACAGTCTCTCGGAGCGCGGCGAAACTCCAACACCCGCGGGGTCGAAACTCCGAAGCCGCTGCTCTTTCTCGACATCTCCGCGGGGGAGTTGGGGAAGGAAAGTGAGCGTTTACTCCGTGCGGACCATCTCGATGTCCAGCTAGAAAACCTGCCATGACCTTGAACATTCATGGGTACTCTACCCATTTGCAATCATGGCAACTTTTTCAAGTCTAGAATCTTTTGTCTCTCACACTGAACTTTGTCCTTCCTTCCGCTTCAAAGTCTTCTCCACGATCCTCGAGCGAATATTCCGAAACCTCGATTTCTCTCCATGAGCGTTCTACATCATGCAACCGTCCTAACATTCTCCTCATGTGTGCCGGGCTTCTCGCTATCCCCTGGGGTTTGCCCTTCCCTGATTTTCACCTCGACACAGACCTTTCGCTCTGGCCCTCTGCTCTGCCGGAGTCTGCCAGGGCTCTGGCTCTGCTCTTGCTCTGCTCTTGCTCTGCTCTTGCTCTGCTCTGCTCTTGCTCTTGCTCTGCTCTGCTCTGCTCTGCTCTGCTCTGCTCTGCTCTGCTCTGTTCTCCTTCCAGCCCCGCACGCGTGTGCATCTTCCAGCGGGCCCAAGGAACGTCGCAGTGCCACCGCTGCGTTTTCCCCCATAGCTTGTCATGACAACCGTTGAAAAAAAACAAACTGTAAAATTGGAGATAAAAAACTTTTCTTTTTTTGTTCATCTGAGGCGAGTCTCTGTCAGAGCAGCTCTGTCACTACCCGTTCTTTCTACGGTAATTGAAGGGGTTATAGATAACATCCAGTACCCCTTCTTCTTACCAAACGACATATGGGAGGATGTACCCCCTCCGTTCACCATCACCCCCGCCGTCCTTCACCGGAAATTTCCTCTTGTTTGATAAAAAATCATTAGAGATCAAAATGTACACTAATGGAAAGCTGTTGCCAATTGCTCTGTTCTGACTGTCGTCAGTTTTTTTAAGCTCCCTGCAGATTGGCCTCCCGTGCAGGGGGTGATCACCCCTAATCTGGGTTTGTCTGTGAACGACGCTCTAACACTTCGCAAGTAGTTCTTAATGTTTTACACAATGGGTGGGGTGATCGAATAGCAAATTGAAGTAAAGGGAGTGGTCATGAACATTTCCTACGTCAAAACGGGCAAATCAGGGGGTGGGGTGGTAAATTACACCAGACAAAAACACCCCACAATCCATGTAGATATTGCCCTGATTCACACCGGTACACTTTTTTTCTTTTTTCGATGTACCCCCACCAATGTGGGGGAGAACAACCCTGTGCCGGAAAGGCCCTTGTCCTGAGACCCCGTTCTTCCCATCGACCAAGGACCCACTCAGTGGACCCCTGACCCCTGTATTGATATACCCCCACCTACCAATAGGCCAGTCCAATTAAGATATTTTCATCATCCTGCACCCACCCCAATTGTGTATGTCAGTACCCCACCCCCTTGTTTATTGGAGTACCCCTCCGTTTGCCAGGTACACCTTCTCTTCTCCCGCCCATGCACCGTCCCCAATCTATCCCCGCCCCTTCAATCTCCTCGCATCACGTTCCTCGGCCTGCCCTCCCCCTCCTCCTCTTCATCCAAAGTACAGAGACACTCGTCTTGTCCCCCCCATTCATGTTTCTCCTTCATTTTGTTTCTCTTCCTGGCCACCTGTACTGTGTTCGTGGCTCCCTTACCCAACGTTAACTCCCCCTCTGTCGAATGCTGCTTTTTTTTGTGTGGGAGGCGTCTTATCTGTGGCATTATATGATAGATGGTCTACTGCTACTTGCCATATCATGAGTCATCACATCTGACCCTGCATCGCATCGCTTAACCCTGAGATTCGAGACTAACAGTTGGCTTTGTGTTCCCAATGCTGAAATACTCCGTACCCGTTTCATTTTGAGCTTCCTGAGCTATTGTACATTTGCTGATATCTTGTTCTCTTTCCGTTGTCCCATCGGCATGCTCTCGTCTTCCGTCTTTGGACATCTCTGAAACCTTTCCTCAGGTCAACGGCTGGATCACCGCACAGCTTTGTAGGTTACCAGCAAGGTTTGCATCGAGAAGTGCTTGCTACAAGTCGAAGCTCTGCCTGTCTTGATCTCAGCACCAGCTCGAATCCAGCATCATGGTTCATGAGAATGATGGCCCTGGGGTGCTCGCGCCTGAGGGCGAGGGCCATTCGATGACGGGCGGTGATCTTGACCCCAACGACGCTACCGACCCCAACCTTGATGGAGATCAGATGCCTCCGGATGTTGTGGTGGCTGGAGGGCACGTGCAAGTCACTGTGAAGATAGGAGATCATGAGATCAACGGCGGCACCAGGTATCGTGCCTGGGTAGAGCACAAGGACAAAGTCATGGAGCGTTTGACTGGCTGGCAAATCGTAGCAATGGATGGAAACATGATCACATTTCATGTTCCGCAGAGCATTGTTTCCGCTGCTCTTGCGGAGAGGCAGGCAAAAGTCCCCAAGGATGAGCGAAGGTATTGGGGAGACAAGACTGATTTCTGTCGATGCCTGGAAGCTGTTTTGTACGACATCGAGAGAGGTCAGAAGCCGAGGAGAAAGCCCAGGGAGCCACGTCCTGGTGTTCTAGCTATCTCACAGGGAGTAGGGTTCCAGCGCGATCCTCGCCCAAGAATGCCGATGAGACAGCCTCTTCATATGGCTACCGGGCTTGACTCCATTGACGTCTTGGTCCGCATGTTAGAGAACAAGGCCCCAACAGAGCTGATAGGGTTTGAGCGAAGGTTGAGGATTGTGATGAACAGAATCGAAGTTCATCTGCATTCAGGAGGAGGGTCAACTTTGAAGACTGATCTTCCCAAGGACTGGAGCCCAATGATCGACCTTCCCCTTCCCCCCTCTGCGCCTCAGACTGTGAAGCGAGGATGTTCCAAGATTCAACGTTCAATGCTCCCGCTGCGACTCTCTGCGCAAGTTGAAGAGCTGCAGCAGCGTCTAAACGATTTGATGGATTCCTTACAACAAGGCTTCTTGGACCCTAAGGCGTTAGGCACCAAATCTCACCATGAGGGGAACCCTGCTCACGTTGCAGCTTTGCTGAAGACTGGTTTGGCTATCATGGGCAAAGAGAGCGTGGAAGATCAGATGGAGCACTGGATGTGTGTCCCAAGACCAAGATTGATTCAGGTATACATTGATGAGTTCAATCGAGTCATGAAGAACATCCTGGATCAATCACAAGCTCATGCAAACATGAACCCACCAGGTCCCCTCGCCAAGTACTCGAATGTTGAGCCCTCCACGTACGCTGTCCAGGCTTCGAAGGAGAGGCTTGGAGAAAGAATCCTTCATTGTTTGAACGTAATGGTTGTTCCGATCGTGGACAAGTCTTGTACTCCATGGCAAGTAACCAAGGGGGTGATGTCGAATCCCGTTGGAATGCCAGACGATTATCTTGTCCGTTACCTGGATATGTTGTACAAGAATGTGAATTACTCCGAGCGCGAGCAGAGTGGCGCTATGTTACTCGGGGATGCAGCGGAGTTCGAAATCTTGCGTGCAACATTACCCAAGGATGCGCTGCCACTGGTGGAGGCACTCATTTGTACATACGGAGGAGATGAGGAGAGGCAGAGGCTGGGTATTCCGAGTAGAAGGAAGACTGCAGCCATAGACAGGGTCCAGAAAGCAAGAATGGACCTTGAAATGCTTGCTAAGTCAGCCGACGCCCACATTGCGACTTCCAACGCCAAGTCTCCGCACTCGGCACGTGAATACCACATTCGTGCCAAGGCTAAGCAGCTGGGAATATGGCTGGATCCTTCAAAGCGAACCACAGCTGCCGACAGGCGTCAAAACACTCAAGACGGCGACCTCCAGGGCTACAGAAGTGACAACTGGGAAGCAGACGATACGGGCCTAGGAGCCTTGGCTTTTACAGCTCACTCGAACGGGTTGACCCTTGTGTTGATGTCGGTTGTTCTGAGGCTGACTTGAGGCACTCAGAGGACGCCCAATGAATGCCATCTCCATCAATCGCCTTGCGGGCCTCGGAGATGCCAGTGGAAGGCTCGTGCCTGAAGAAGTCGAGGCTCGCATTGCGAATGACCACAGGCCTCCCATCCAGGTGCGATGGACTGATGTGGGTAATGGTGTGAATGATCTTGTGGGACGTGCAGGTGCAAGTCAAGATCGGCGATCATGAACAGGTAGAAGAGCGTTTTCTGCTCTCCTTCCCACTGATACGCAAGTCTCCAGAATGGATGCTTCCGATACAAAGCTTGGGCTCTGCACAGAGATATTGTTCTGCAGCGGCTGAGGTGCATCAGGGAGCAGGAAAGGAATCCAAACTGATAATACATCAAGGTGGGACGTTGTGGAGCAGCAGGATGATTACGTCACTTTCAGCGTGCCAGCTGCCTTGGCTGAGGTTTCTTGTACTTTATCATCCTCCATACCTTCTGACAGATACAATTCAGGCGTCGGAAGTTGAGAGGAAAGCCAAAGTGCCCAAGGAGGAGAGGAGATACTGGGGAGACAAGACGGACTTCTGTCGATGCCTGGAAGTGGTGATCAACGAAGTCCGTGGAATCAAGGTTTTGTTCAAGGCGCCTGACCTGCTCTGTTTGTTCTCACTGGTGTGGCGTGTAGGGGAGGAACACGCGCCCCTCTACCCTCGGCCCTGAGATGCTGCAAGCACGCGAGCAAATGATCCTGACAACTGAGTACAAGACCAAACTAGCTAAGCTCCGAGAGATGCAGGTGAAGCCGCGAGTGCAGCAGGAGGACAGCTGACGGCGTCTACAGGCAACTGTAAGGGAGGGATCTGCGACTGCCGACCGTATGAGGCAGGAGGAGGAAGAGCTTGCTGTGAGTGCCCTCCCTATCTTGTGCTCTGCTCCTTCCCCTGTGCTTCTGCTCTGCTCATGTTTCAACAGGCCAAACACGCAGCAGAGATGGAGAGGCTGAACGCGAAGTACGGAGGATCGCTGAGATCCGTCAAGAGGAAGCGCACAGCCTCGGTCATGACGGCGGGAGGCATCGGAGACAAGGTGGGTCTGGAGGTTGGGGGTGAAAGTAACTGACATGCGACGAGCAGATCAGGAAGAAGCCGAAGAAGATGGACATGGCGAAGGAGATGCAGGGCCATCCTGCCAACCAGATGGGCCAGAGGTCTCCGGGACACGCCCCCCCCCCGCACATGCGCATGGCGCAGCCTCAGTGGGGGCGACCTGGGGCTGTATAGTAGAAGTAAACAAGGAGTTGGAGCTATGGCTGTATGAAACAAGCGTGTTGCATGCTGTCCTGACTCCTCCTCTGCGACCTCCTCCTTTCTCCTTTCTCCTCCCTCCTCCCTCCTCCCCTCGCTCTCCCTCCCTCTCCCTCCCTCTCCCTCCCTCTCCCCTCCCTCTCCCCTCCCTCTCCCCTCCCTCTCCCCTCCCTCTCCCTCCCTCCCTCTCCCCTCCCTCTCCCGGTGAAAACGAAATTAGACTTGCTCTGCTCCAGAGAGGGTGGTGGTACTGTGTTAAAGCGAAGAAGGGGTACTGATCCCTGAGTATCATCCACTGTTTCAAGGTAGGGTAGTAGGGATACTCTTGCTGGAAGTTCAATGCTGGAAGGGAGGGGGAGGGGGAGGGGGAGAGGGAGGGGGAGGGGAGAAGGAGAGCAGAGAGGAGGAGAGTGATAAGGAGACTTACGATGAGAAAAGGAAGGGAGAAGGTTGTTACGCGTGAGATTTGCGAATAGAATGTACAGGAGAGCAGAGAGTACAGCAAGGAAATGTCCTCGGTGAAGGGTAGTGAAGGTGAATAGCTGTATGAAGACGGTGACAAGGGGTAGGCAAGACGCTTGAACGATTCTAACTTCACATGAACACATGGCGTGTTCGCACATGCATCAAGTGATGAGAGAGATGTTGACTTGAAGTTACAGATGGAAGATCTACGAGCAGTCATGAGCCAATACTCCTCTGGCCGTGTGAGATCGCCGAACCAACTGTCGCACAGGTCAAACTCTCCGATCCTGAACGAGACCGTCGACACCGAAGGAGAAGTCAACGAGCGCGCTCAGCTCCTGAGCGAGAAGAAGCGATGGGCTCAGGAGCGAAAGGTGGACGAGCTGCGATGGGCGGAGGAGATGGCGCAGCTAGCGCGAGAGAAGCGAGCATGGGCGGAAGAGAAGGAGGAGTTTAACAGGAGGTTGCAAGCAGAGCTGACCAAGGAAAGAGAAGCATGGGAGAAAGAGAAACTTGAGATGACGCTGAGACATAAGAAGGAGCTTGAGAGGATACAGGATCATCACACAGAGGAGATCCAGCTCTTGTCCTCACCGGAGAAGATTCGGGAAAACTTCCCGTCGACCTTGTCTGAGCTTCAGAAAGAGCACATGAAGCTGAGAAACGAGTACGAGAAGGTGGTGAACGAGTTGAAGTTCTGCCAGGCGGAGCTGCTGGAGCTCAGAGCAGGTGACCAGGCAGGCAGCGAGGGGCAAGAGGAGCCGATCTTGAGGAACGGTGAGCCGAGCTTGGCAAGGGAAGTCGAACGACTTCAGAAAGATCTCAAGATAACTAGATCTGCCCTAGAGCACGAGCGACGAGCAAGGCAGAGGGACCAAAGTGTGATGGAGGATCTACAGAGGATGTTGGAGAAGAAGGAGGAGGAGGAAGATTCGGACCAGCAGGACGACAAAACTTGGCAGCATGAGCGTGCGCTGCTTGAGAGAGCGCACGTGAAGGACATGATGGAGCTGAAAGCCCAGCACGAGTCCAACAGAGCCTCCGACTATGCAAACTTCAAGATGATCCTGGCGGAGGAGCAGGAGAAGTTGTCGACGCTGGAGGAGGCGTGGAAGGGGCTGCTGGCCGGCACACATGATGCACAGTTGTCATATAACACGCAGAAGCTGTCTACCGGCAAGACTTTGCTGCATGTGAGAGAGAGGAGGAGGGAGAGGAGTGAGGGTTTACGGCTTGTTGGCAGGTCACTTGTGCTACTGTGAGACAAATCGGTGGGTGCAGTCGATTACGATGATATTTTATTTGATTCTATGTACAGGAAAAGGAGACTCGGCGTCAAACAGCATCCCAAGGCGATCTGAAGAGATATCCTTCACTGAGCGCATGAACTTGACAGGAGGAGTGAGGTTGTCAGCAAACAAGGAGCCATCCATGTGATTCAGGCTTTAGCTTGTTCCATTCGACGTGCTTGTCTGTTCCTCTTTGTTTTCTTCTTGCTGCGCCGGCTTGATGGGCAGCTCTGTGTACACTTCTACTGCGTTGAGGTAATCAAGGTTTTGTTGCAATTCGCGTGACTGTCCCCAAGAATCGCAAGCCGATGTTTTTGAAAAAGAGGTCAATCAGTGACGCAGGTCTATCTCTAATAGGAAATGAATCTACACAAGTTTGAAGCACCTGTCGATCGATGTTTCGTTTCATCTCCTCCTTCTCCTCCGGTGTTTTCTCCGTAATCTGCGGGAGAGAAGTGAATTCACAACCCATTTTTCAAACTCCTGCATGCAAGTTTCGCTCACAATATGAAATATCTCCATTCTCAGCTGCCACCAGTTGGGATCCTCCACATCGACAGCATCGTGTGGTGGGAAGCAAGCGAACGGGTACTGCAGGGACATGGGGGGAGGGGAGAGCGGCTTGCCGATAGCGAAGAGGAGGCCAGGGACTAGACTGTAGCCACCAGTGGAGCAGGCAGACGTGTCCAGCACCTTCTTGAACTGCACGGGTGGTAAGGTTGCAGGCAGCAACACAAACAACCAAGCACCTGTAACGCAACAATCTTTGGAGGAACCTTCCTCGTGTTGATCGACAGCGTCCACCATTCTACGGGAAACACAACTTCCTTGAATGTCGGCTTGAAGTCTCTCCCCTCCAGCTTCAGCAGGTTGGGGCCGTCTCCTGTGTGCGTTCCAAACATCTTCGTGGACAAGTGTAGGTGGCGTATCGTCCCTTCCCCCGTCTCCTCGTCGTCCCATCCTTGCTCGTCGTCGAGCGGCCTCCAAATGCTTCCTCCAAACGTCCAGTCCGGCAGGCCCTTGACCAACGCCTGAACAACCGTCATGGATGAGTTTGAAGGAGGGCAGTAGACCTTGATAAGAGACAACCACTCCTCTCGGCTGTAGTTAACGAGGCCACCTTCTTTCTTGGGCTGTGAAGCAGCAGCATGTCACTTTCCCTCTCATGGTGGCAGAGAACGTACTGATGGCACTGAGGCAACGAAAGAATCGTCATATATCTCCTCATAGTTCCCAGCTTGCGTTAGTGTGAGCCCGTTCGGGTATGACAGGAACATCTCGCATATCTCCTCCGCATCACTCATTGCAGCCTGAACCTGAGCAGAGCAAGTGTAACAGTCAGAAGTAGATCATTGTTCACGTTCCAAGACAAGAATCCTGCTTCTGCAAACTCCCGTGCCCCCCTTCAGTATTTATCTCTTTCCTGCACATACTTGCCCGAACAAGCGAATAATTCTTGCAAATACGACATGTTCTTGCAGATACCACATCCCATCCTACTCCTGCTCCTGCTCCTGCTCCTGCTCCTGCTCCTGCCATTTCCTCCTGCTCCTGCTTCCCTCAATCGATCATCACGGCATTTTTTCGGCCGTTGAGCGGTTATAATCGTTGAATATTCGTTACATTTCCCGTTGAAAACTCGATGTTTCTTGTACCCCTCAAATTGCAATCAGAACCACCCCACCCCTCAAGGGGTCCCCGTGAGTCAATATCAGCGGGCGGTATGAGCCTCATCTGACAACCGGCAGAGCATCGCTAGTTATGGCTAGGTCTTCCCCATGGCAGCGCAGGGAGAGAGAGCGAGAGGAGGCGGAGGAGGAAGGGAGACTGTGGAGAGGATGCAGCCGAGGGTCAGTGTATGAGAAACCGTCGCAGTGGTCAACCAAGTGACGTGCGGCTTCACAGTGACTTGAAACTTTGAACCGATCGGACAATCACGGCGGGAGTAGTTGTAGCAAGTCTACAGTCTCGAGGGCTACAGCCTGATGAACAAGAGGAAGAAGACAAAAACCAAGGGGCGCAGTGAGTTTGAGGTTCAAACTGCAATCTGATAATGATCGCCCTGAAAGTTTTCTGATCACGAAGCGGTTCACCAAAGAGATAGGCCCAGCAATGAGCCAGATTCAGTCAGCCATCACTGACTTCGCAGGAAGATCTCTGCTTGACAAGGTGGTGCCACCAGGCATGTCACCACTAGATGTTCCGTCTCAGGAGCTGGTATGTGGCGAAGGGAGGTAGAGAGTGGTATTAGCCTTATGGTGACTTTCAGATCCAAACGTTTCAAGACGCTGTTTCAAACGAGCATGCCAAGTGGAAGCTAGAAGTAGAAGCTCGAGTGAACCACAAGATGGACTCGTTCGTGCAGAACATCTCGCAGAAGCTGGGATCGGTGAGCAGCGTTGGAGTTTACTCGCTTCCACTCACGGCGGAAGTGAATTTTCAGATTCTTGTAGTGGAGGATGAAGACTCTGAGTCCACGTTACCATCGGCACAAGCGCTTGTTAGCTCAGAACTGTCATCAGACATCAACGTCATTAGACAGCAAAGAGGGGCGTTTGCAACCAGAAGGCAGATCACGCAACTGCAAGAGGAGGTGATCGATAGATTGGGAGAGGGAGTCTGCTGCTGACATGTTTGACGGACTGTTGTTGGTCCAGGTCATCGAGATTGAGCAGAAGCTGCAGAGATTGAATCAGCGGGTGACAGATACCAGCGAGACACTCCCTGCTCTTGTCCACGATGAGATTCACAAGCAGCTAGAGGATTTGTCGGACCGATTTGCTTTTGTTGTGAGATACCATGACAACCTGTACAAAGAGAAGCTGTCAAGGGTAAGAGATGCTGCTGCTCAGATCATCTCAGATCAGATCGCTACCATCGAGAGCCAGTACGAGACGCGGATGGCGAGTGCGTTGCAGTCGTTACAGAGTGACTTTGATGGTTACAAGAGCGAGGTAGAGGCGGTCAAGATCAGGCATCGAACGGAGTTGGACATGCGGGATGTTCAAATCAGCAGGTTGCAAGCAATGATCAACCAAGTCGTGGCGTGCGGGATCGACGTTTACTCCGACGTCCCGCTGAATGTGCAGATGTCAAGGATGAGCCTGCAGAGGACGAGGTCGAACTCGCTCAGCTCTGGGAGGCGGAAGAGTATGAGCAGATGGAGCAGGCAGAACGGAAGCGCACAGGATTTGAGTCTTCAGGGAGGTGAAGTCAGGACGCCGTCGGACACGCCCAAGTCGACGAGGACGAGCAACGACCAGCTGGAGCCCAGCAGCCTTCACAGGTTGGAGGAGGAAGAGGAGAAGCTTGTCGTGGCCCAGCAGCCGCTTCCTCCAGCTACAACCCAGCAGCCTGTCAGGGTTGAGAGCGCAGGAAGAGTCATCTTCAAGCACGAGAGGGAGGTCTTACCCGAGCCCGAGGACGGTGGGAGCGGGTCGGAGGTGGGTAGGGAGTTGGAGGACATGGAGGATGAAGCATGGCTTGCTCGATCGTCGCAGCTCTCGATGCAGCTGGTGGGGTCGAGGTGCGACTGCAGGAAGAAAGTCTACAACGACAGTCTTAAGTCTCAGCTGGAGCCCTGGCGGAGGCCTGCTGGGGTCGTAATCACTTGGCATCCGACGCTGGCAGATGGCCCGGCAGGGACTAGAAGCCCCGAGGAGATGCAGGAGGCGCTGGGAACGATGCTGGGTGAGAGGAGGAGGAGGAAGGAGGAGCGAGGAGAAGGAGGGAGAAGGAGGAGAGGAACAGAGGTGGGTGGGAGCAGGAACGCGAGGAGGACAGGAGGGAAGGATGTGGTGGTGGCGGGGGAGGAGGAGCAGAAGGGAGGAAGTGCAAGACGAGGAGTGATGTTCTGGGGTTTGACTTGGTGGGCAGGAAAGGAACTTGTAGCATGTGGTGGAGATGGTGAAGACGACCCGATGGCAGATGGCAAAGTTCTTGACGCAGTTGTTGTTTTGTTCTTGCTCAGGTAATGATGATGATGGAAAATGATGATGATGTTGTTGTTGTTGTTGTTGTTGTTGTTGATGATGATGATGCAAATCCGTATCTTTGTGATATTTTCTTTCAGCGATTCGTATGCCAAGGACAGGCGATGTTTGCGACATTTTCGGCTCCTTGTAGAGAGAGAAAGTCTCGTCGTCATTCCGGTGGTGATTGCAAAGGATGTGGATGAAAACAATTCAATGATGAGCGAAGAGACTGAGATGGGAAGTATGCTCAAGGTCAGAACAATGTTCGAACAGAGTTGTTGTGTTGTTCTAATCTCAGTATCCAGGGATTAAAGATTGAAGATGTGACGGGAAAGGAATCGTGGGGTGTGAGGAGTCAGAGTTTGATCAAAGTGAGATGTCGACGATGAGTCGAAGCTCAAGTTTGTAGACGCTGACGATGTTTTCTCTTGCTTGCAGAGAATCCGACAGCATTTGCATGTTGAGGAGAAGAAAAGGAAGGACGGAAAGGGCGAGGAGACAAACAGTTTTGCTCTCTACTTCAGCTATTGCATCAGAAATTCATTCACGGCTGTACAGAATAATGAGGCAAGTCGTTGACAAACATCGTCCTTGTTTTACATCTCCTTTCCTGTCCCCTCCTCTCCTCTCCTCTCCTCTCCTCTCCTCTCCTCTCCTCTCCTCTTTTCTCTTTCCTCGTCTTCTTTACTCCTCTCGTCTCAAACCATAGCAGATTCCGGAAAGCATGCTTGCAGGAGGCAAACTTAGCGATCCTGTTCGCATTGCGGCGATACTGGAAGAGAGTCCGTGGATCAGCGAGTTTGAGACGAAGAAGTGCTGTCTTGCCTCGCATGCACAGAACAAGAATGTCCATGTTGACAAGTTTCACAATATCTTGCAGGTTGTCCCATGTTGAATGCTGTTGCAGAACTTGAACTTTTCATTCTTGATCTTTCGTCATCATGTTTCTCGCTGTTGTGTGATTTTCCTCTCCTTGTTGATCATGCTCTACAGGCCATGTCGCACAGCCAAGTGATTCTGATTTTCATGAGCGACGAATACTGTTCTTCCTCAGTGTGCTCAATGGAGTTTGAGATCGCAACCAAGATAGTTTGTAAACCCATCGGTGAGAAAACTTTCATGACGATTATCTTAGAGCGATTGACATTTTGAATGTTGTTCTACAAGTCATATGCATGTTATCTTCTCCGAACAGCTCTTGGAAGTTCACAAGGATAGGGAAGAACGCGTTGACTTACGACAATCGTGTAAGGTTTGAAGATATCAGGGAGGAAACAGATTTACGGATGCTGATCGAAAAGATGAAACACAATATCACAACAGTGAGGTTGAAGGTTGAAGACGACTTCAAGATGGAAGAACATGAAGAGATGTTGAGTGCAATGTTCAGGATGATCAACATTGGAGGGAAGCATTCTCTATCGCAATCATTGGTAAAAGACGATCTGCTCACTGCCGGGATGCAATTTCAGCTAGTTGAGTTGCTGATGATCGAGATATGCAATCAAGATGGAAATGTCTCTCTCGCAAGCTTCTTACAAGGTTGTGCAAACTTGATGAAAGTGGACAAGCGGAACAGAACGTTGTTCAGACACGCCTATGAAACTTTGCGACGTCAGCACGAGCAGAAGAGTGCAGCTGCTGCAAAGTTGCAATCATCATCGAGAATGGTTACGAGAAGAGAGAACTACAAGAACACTCTGCAAGACATGATGACGTTCGAGCAAGAAATCAAGAAGATGAATGCTGCCCTTGCGCTCTCAACTGAGCAGGCGAACGCGATCAGGTATGATTTCTTCCGTCAAGGGCTGGTCCATGGCGAGAAGAAGTCACAGGAGGCAGCAGAAAGAAAGTTGGTCATGTTCAAACTTGCTTTCCGTGAAGGCGCAAAGTTTGCAATGGAAGTTATGGAAAAGAACAAGAACAACAGGAAGATTGCTGTTGAAGACATCAAGAAAAAGATAAAAGAAATGGATAGCTCCAAGAATTCTCTCAACGAACAACACATAACAGGTTTCATACAAGGCGCGTCACTGTTTGTTGACGACCCAAACCTCTTTGTTACTCCTTCCACTGCTGACAAGGATGTACAAGTGAACGAAGTTGACACGTTGAGCTCCGATTCCGATGAGACAGACTCGGAGGAATATCAAGTCAACAACAACAACATCAATCATCATCAACATCACCACCATCACCATCATGTTTGCGAGAAGTGCATGTTGAGGGAAGAAATTCGAAGAACTATGACGTCGACGTCGACACAAACTCAAAGAGCAAACATTTTCATCGATGAGAAGGAAGATCTTGACAGGATATGGAGGAAAGAACAGCCCTCTAGCTTCTCTCTCTCATCGCACAAGCTCCACGTGGAGAAAACTCTCAACGAGTTTGTTATGATGGAGGACAAAAATGAAACCACAAAGGACGACAACAAAGAAACATCACCGGGGAGTGTTGAGATGAACAGAGAAGATCTCAAACAGCATCTCATGAAACAAGACATCATCTCTGACATCGATCGCATCTTCTCATCCACCGGCAACGTTGTAGACGCGAGCGCGTCAGGAAGCATCAAGGCCAGGAGGGAGCACGAGCAGGAAGAAATCCCCTTCCTCTTCGATGAAGTCATCAAGGTGGTTCCGAGCTTGAACGAAGGCTGGTTGTGCCCTCCTCCTCCTCCTCACTCTCCTCCCCTCGACTTCTCCTCTCCCCCTCCTCGTCCTAGAGCATCTTCAAGTGGTCCTATCCGTGCACCTCTGTCCTCTGAGAAACTTCTCCTCCCCGTCGGAGCAAGTTCCTCTGCTCATACTCCAGCTCCATCCTCCAAGGTGACCCTGTCCTCCTTCTCCTCCTCCTCCTCCTCCTCTCCTCTCCTCTCCTCTCTTGTCTCCCTCGTCCCTCCGCACCTCTCTCCCTCTTTCCCGCCCTCGTCTGTCGTGTACTCCCTCCTCCTCTTCTCCCCTCCCTCTCCGCCTCCCTCTTTCTTCTTCCCCTCCCCTCTCCCCATTCTTCGCTTCCTCCCACCCCCCTCCTCCTCATTTCTTTCCTTCCTCCTGCTCCTCCTGCTCGCTCCTCCTCCTCCTCTGACATTCTTCTCAGTCTCGTCCTATTTCTGCTTCAGTCACTCCCAAGTGGTCGAGGATGAGCAGGACGAGCATCCCCCGCGCTCTCAATCTTGATTCCATCCTCACCCCCGACCTCAGGCATACACGCTGCTTCTTCAGCCCTCTCCCTCCTCTCGCTCCTGCTCCCTGCTCCCTGCTCCCTGCTCCCTGCTCCCTGCTCCCTGCTCCCTGCTCCCTGCTCCCTGCTCCCTGCTCCCTGCTCCCTGCTCCCTGCTCCCTGCTCCCTGCTCCCTGCTCCTTGCTTCCCCTCCCTGCCCTGTCTTCCCGCTCCTGCTCTTTCTTCTGCTCGCCCCTCCTGCTGATTCCTCTTCATTATTCTTCTCGTCGCTCTTCTTTCTCCTCCTCCTCCCCCTCCCATTTTCTTCTTCTATCCCTCTTCATGTTTGGGATCAGCTGAGCATGCTCCCTCTAGATTCTCAGACTCAGCAGAAGAACGAGAAGGAGCAGAAGCGTTCTCCTCCTCTCCCGACGCTTCCTTCAGTCTCGCTCAGCTCAACCTCTCCAAGCTAAGGAGCACCTTCTGCCCATCCTCAGCCTCGTGAGTTTGAACCCTTTCCTCCTGCTCCTCCTGCTCCTTCTCTTCCTCCTCCTCCTCCTCTCTCTCTCTCTCTCTCTCTCTCTCTCCTCTCCTCCTCTCTCTCTC